GCCAATAGCATCTGTTAAAGCTATCAATGATAAGGTGGTCAATAATAAGATATATATCAAGCATCAATTTGGTAAACTGACTGCAGTCAAAGTCCTTTACTTAGAAGTAGACAACTGATCCTCTTGACCACCAAAACAAAAGAAAGTTTTGGTGTACCTGTAAAATCCAACCCTAATAAATTTTGGAAGGAATTTTGATATTTGATGTTTCCATTCAACATCCATGAAACAATGAACTCAATTGTCTCAACATAATTTTAATACCAGTGCTGCAAATGTGGCCATTAATATAATAGCTTTTGTTCACACTGAGCCTGTAATTATATGGTTGGATGATGGAAATTACCTCTAAGTCTTGTTTCTTCTCTACATCAACAAAAAACAAAAGGCAAATAAAATAGTTGACCTAGAAGAATAGTCACATTCTTCTACAGTAATTGCTTAATTCATATTAGCAAATCCATGTTAAGCTTGACATGTAAAAACTAAGTGCCCACTTACTGATTTGTGCCTGAACTAGCTCTTAGTTTAGGAATCATAATGTGAAGGTAATTAGATGAAATAAGACTTAAAAGTTTGGGTTTTCAAATTTTCCCAAACAGGCATCAGATGTAGAACTCATATTTTTGTCAAAATATTAAAATGATTTGTGTAAAGACATTGTAAATTTATCAGGAAAGATTTTGTTTTCTTTTAAATCCTTCTCTGAGAAAATTTCACATCAAGAAACCAGATGTTAGCTCCTGGCCCATTCCTCTGTCCTCATATTTCAGACATATTGCAGGCATCATTTACTACCAGGAGTGCTGAGAACAGTAATTGACTGAAGATAGAAACTTGGTAACAAGAAATATGATAAAATAGCATATGCATGGAAGAACCACAGGAAAAGCAAGAAAGAGTTCTGACACAGTTAGGGGCAGTTTAAATGTCACATGTAAAAAACATGAATGCAATTTCATGAAGAAATTCAAAACTACTATTTCAGAAAAACTGAGTTTGAAGAAAACAATAGCTTACTTCTTTTTCTAGTATTTTGTTATAGAAAAGCAGTGAGATTCTCTGAATGTCTTCAGACTTGAGCCATTGCCTGCAAATAAAAAAGATAGACACTTTATAAAACTGAACCTCCAACGAAAATCTGGAACTACGTTTTTTTTAATGACTTACATTCTTCTTTCTTTATTGTAAATCATTCCAAACTGATTTTTTTTAAAGTGTAATGTCAACTAACTGGATATAGACTTTAGAGATTGTTAAGAGGATTTTCAAATACTGTATAATAACCCTGTTCACACATCGCCCTCCTTGGAAAATTCTATATTACAAACCAGCTGTCATATCAAATTGAAACTCGAGTTATCCAAATTAAATAACTGGGGAGACAGGTCATCAATAATTGATTCCCTGGAAATCATATATTAGTTTCATCTCCTAAAGGATTTGATTCCCAGAGAAGCACTATTTTTCTTAGCTTATAACAAGCAACATATAACAGAACATCTGAACCATTAAAGCACCTTCAAGATCGGGTGAGAAGATTTTGCTTCTTTCACTTACTGAAAATACTTTCTTTTTTTCATTTTTAGAAGTAAACACTGTGTTTGAGTACAGTTTTCAAAAAACCGGTATCCTTATTACTAATGTAATAAGTAATCAGTTCAGAATAAATTGATGCAAACATAAAAACACATTAAATACATACATGCATAAATACAAGGGGTCTTCAAAAAGTCCAAGGAAAATGAGTATTATGAAAAAACTATGTATGGATTTCAAAATGTTTTTGCACCAAAATAAACTTATACTAACTTCTTGTAACATGTCTGAATAAAATCTAGTTTGAGGCACTAAGAAGGATAAGACGTCAGTTTGAATAGAGCTCCTATTAGAGCAACATGAATTCTGCTAAAATTGAAGAGCAAACATCAAATTTACGGTGAAGCTTGAGTGGAAGAATGATGAAATCACTGATGCTTTATGAAAAGTTTACAGGAAAAATTTCCT